CATGTTAAGAGCTCCGGAACATAGAAGAAATTGTGGATATGTACCACCGAAAAGCAATGTTGATGATGAAGTTGAAGATGATACTATACTTTAGGAACCAGTTACGTGTAAGGAAACACTTATCGCATCTAGAACTTTTCACAATTTTATGGTACAGTTTGAAATGACAACATCAGTGCTCTTGGATGCAATAAGAAAATTTAGAAATGAACTTCAACTAGATTTAAATTTTAAGAAAACAATAACATAATAGAATCATATTTTACTAAATTGTCTTAGATACATTTTTACTTTTGAAGAATTATTAATTTATGATATTAATGGGACCATATATTTATATAGGGGTCTTCTAGAAATATATTATCTTATCGAAATTGATGATTTTTTTCCATTAACCCAAGTAGGGACCCAAAAAAAATATTATTTTAGAGAGATTATTAATTTATTGAGTATTAATGTATAGAAGTTTTACTGTATATCTTCTTTCCTCAGTAATTTAATTCTGAATTGTTGATATTATTGTTCTTTTCATAAGAGTAATTTGAAGAAACAGGGTTGGATAGAGAAAAAACTTTAAAATTAGGTTAAACATTTTATTTCATGAAAGTTTCCATTGATATGAACCTAAGCTATTTTATATTAACAAAGAACAAAAATCAAACCTGATAAGTTTTTGAATATTAAAAAACTAAATTCGATAAGGTTATAGTTAAGGAACTAAAATCGATAAGTGTATAGTTAAGAAATCAAAATTGATAAATTTTTAAATAGTTAAAAAATAAATCTGTTAAGTTGAGTATATAATTAAAATATCATTTTAGACCTATTCCTATAATTAACAGACTATTTATGTTATTTTCTCTGCTATTTCTCATTGACTAATAACTTGATTATCCCGTCCATGTGCTTCATTATCTAGTTATATTATGGTATAATTTTCTTTATTTTATTTTTCAATTTTTGGGGTTCTTGTTTAGATAACATATAAATAATAATTTACTTTGTTATGTCTAACACTTTCTTAATGATGATAACTAAATTTAGTTGATAAAATTCTAAGTCTAGTGATTTTGTTGATAAAAACAAGTTCGTAATTTTACCATACAAATTCTTAAATTTGATACAAATATGCCTCTCGTTATATTTTCAGATTTAAATATATTTTTTTTCATTATACTTTTATGCTAATTTATTCTTATAATTTTTATAAAAATAAATCATCCACTATTTTAAATATCCATTTCACTTTACAAAATACAACTATTTAACCCATTCAAATCCCCTCCACTTTGAGTTGTTTTCTTTTCATCATATCTTTCTTCTTTTTTTTCTTTCCAATAATCCGCTTATTATTAAAATTAGATTCTTCAAGTTTTTGCTCCATCCATTTTTGGAATAACTTTCCCATTGACATTCAAGTCGGGTCTGCTTTCTTTATCAAAAGATTTAACCGTCATTTTGGTAGGGTGTATAAGCATGTACAAGAATAGTATTAAATATGATATGATAGTAATGCAGATATTTATTATATATATATTAATTATGTTGAGATTATTTTTTAATTTATAAGTGTATAAATTATTTATTTACAAAAATACTATTCATAAATACGGTGAAAAGGATATGAGTAAAAATCATTGACCTGACTTCAGTTGGGGTTAGCCCTTCGAGAGATGAAATTTACTTCGATGTCACCTCCATATATTTGTAGATATTTTAAATAAATGTACTTAAGTTTACTAAACATTTGATGAGAGAGACAGAGGATATTTTCTTTTTTATTAAAAAGGATGATGTTTGGTTTATAGGTCGTATTTTTAGCTTTGTGGGAAAGGTTTTAGAGCTTGGGACTGGGCCATATTAAGGCTCGATTTGGTCCGTATTTGCATCGAATAGGTCCATTTAAGGTGAAAATATGTAGAAGTTTCACCGAGGCTTGTTATAATCAAATTATGCAAAAGCCAAATGGTTAAGAAAATGCAACAAAGAACAATGATCTATTTGGAAGAGATTAGGAATAAAAGTATGGTAATTTTAAAAGGTCTTAATAATAACGATATTCATATATATTTAAAAGTGATTTGATTTTATGAAAATATTAATTATATCCTTAATACCATGATTATCACAATACAAGTAATAATGATTTATTTATATTATAATTTGAAAAACATATATGTAAAATTTCGTACCAACCTAATAGCATCATATAAAGCGAAATAGAAAGTATTATTCGATCCGTGCAGGTAATAAGCATAAGCGTTCCTTCCGTTTTCGCAAAATATTCATCTGGACATGTTTATTTACTTTGTTTTACACCCAAAATAATTACTTGAATCGTCCATAACGCTCTTTTTAGATCTGAAGTCATTTTAATATCATCGTGACGTGTGCTCTGATTTGTTTGTGAAGTCACATGCATGAAACGTGAGTATACTTTTTTATTTTGATACCCATCCAACATAATTACTTGAAAATTTTAAATTATCTTGATTTGATTTAAACTAATTTAACCTAAATTCAATAAATTTTGAACTGATTAAGCAGGTTATCTATTTTTGAATTTATTTTGGTAGTCCTACTTGAAATATCATGACACTCTTTGTTTATTTGACGTCATTGTGACCTTACCAAAGCACATGTGCCATGATTTTTTTTAGTGAAGTCATATAAAACGTATAAGGAATAAGTATTTCTTGTGTTTCAGTTTTAGTTTTCTTCCATTAATTGTTCTTTCCTTATTTTTTTTTCTTTTTAAAATATAAAATAAATTTATTAGGTGATTATCTTTAGATTAGTAAAAATATAGAAATACTAAAAAAGTAGACAACAAGCAGAAGTAATTAAGAAACGTACTAAATCATTTTGTTTTATTTATTTTTCTTTTTTTCCAACTTCATTTATCTACAAATTATTCTCTCATTTTTCCCCTCGATTGACTTCCACCTTTTGCTTTCTTGCTGACTACATATACGAATTGGAGCTAGGTGAAGGAGGTTTGTCATCCGAGTAACCCCTTCCTTTTTTTTTAAATTCTCTTATTTTTTTATTTTATTTGATAATCTAATCCTACACACTTTTTGTCTTCTTTATTTTGAATTTTTTTCCTTCATCAATTAAAAAAAGATGGATGATACAATAACTATAAATTATTTATTTAGATGTTAAATATTAAAAATCAACTTATTTTAGCATATGGTATATCAAATCAGTAGAAGTCAAAAGTGTTTTGTTGCAGTACATTATGATATCACATTACATATCATATCCTAAAAGTGTATCACATATAATTAGTTTCTTTCTTTAAAATAAGGGATAATGACCAAGTACCCCTCAACCTATCCCCGAAATCTCAGAGACACATTTATACTATACTAAGGTCCTATTACCCTCTGAATTTATTTTATTAATAATTTTTTACCCTTTTTTAGCCTACGTGGCACTATCTTGTGGGCCCAACGATGGTTGACTTTTTCTTTCAAAATAGTGCCATGTAGGCTAAAAAAGGGTAGAAAATTACTTATAAAATAAGTCCAGGGGGGTAATAGGACCTTAGTATACTATAAGTGTGTCTCTGTGATTTCGGACATAGGTTGAGGGGGTACTTGTGCATTTTCCCTTAAAATAAAGAGAAAAGATATAAAATCACCATTGAAGTTGTTTTGGATTTTCAAAAAGTCACTTTAATTATGCGATTGTCCTATTACCCCACAAAACTATCTAAATCTACAATAAATATACCATTTTGATTAATTTTAACACCACTCGTGTTGTCACAGCACATGGGCGCGTGAAGGACTGTTGATACAATTTTCTACAAATGTAAAATTGTCATTTGGCACTTCCAATTTGCCTTATTGAAAAAAACTATAAAAACTCATGTATTAATTGTTATTTTTTAAAAACTTTATTAACAATAGTTTTTATTTTTCAAATTATTTTTCTCATCTTTCCTACCATCATTAGTTTACTCATATTTCTTGAGCATCCATGGCTTCCTTCAATTTTTTTTCTCTCTTTTTCCTATTTGACGTTTTATTTTTAAACTAAAGTTATTCAGTTTTATTTTTTAAAAAAAAATAAATTAGTTTAGTATTTTTTTCCCTTACAAATTAAGATTGAAATCTGGGAGTAGTTAAACTATGAAAAATCAATTTGGAAGTAAGAGTTGGAGAAGGTGATGATTTAAATGTCAGATTTTGACTTGATAATATTTGAGTATTTGGATTTTAATTACTTGTCGATATTTATAATCATAAATAAATTAATTGATAGTAATTTGACTAAAACTAACAGTGATGCTGCGAAATCTACTCAGACACAATGGATTTGATGTTGCTGCAACACAAAGAAAATGAAAAAGAACAACTCAATTGAGATGAAGAAGAAAGAGAAAAAGAAAGAACAGAGTTGAGGTGAAGAAGAAAGAGAAAAAAGAAAATAGAAAAATAAAAGAAATACAAAAAATTAGATAAAAATTATTTCAACACGTGACAAGTGATTATTAGTGCGTGACATACAAATATTTTTGTATAAGTGGTATTGAGTGAAAAATGGGATATACATTCTATTTTGAAACTGTTTAATAGGGTAATAGAACACCCGCAAAGTTAAGGTGTCTTTTTAAAAATTCGAAATAATTTCTATGATAATTTTATGTCTTTTCTCTAAAATAAAATCACTCGTCAGTACTCTATAATTCACAAATGTTATATATATCAAACAATGATGGTATCATTAAAAGACTAACAATTTATTACATATTATATACTGTCAAGTTATTAAAGATGTCAGATTAATTCCTTTAAAATATCACTGAGTCATCTATGAGGTTAAGGAGCATCATAGATGACTGAGTAGTATTTTTGTATCAATTCGAAAATAATCCAATTAAGAGCACAAATAATAGTGAAGAAACCTTGACCACCTAAAACAAGAACAAAGTTCTTGTAGAATTAGCAAAGATGAAAATGCAACAAACTAAACAAAGATCTTATCGTGGAAAACCTCCTTGCTCAAGAGAAGAAAAATCATAACCTACACCTCATAGAATTTTCACCAAAACTTTACGAATTTCACAGAACAATTTTAGATTACAAACTCTATGATCAAATGGACTAACACCTCACCTCAATAGTTTACTCAAACTGTTCAATGATTAGCTATAATTGTATACTCTCCAAGAAGCCAAACCCACTTCTTGTTACAAAAACCTAGCGAACACACTTTGACACTTAGGAAAATTGTCCCTAAACAATGGGTTCTAAGTTGAAACAACACAAACTAAGCTTTGAAAGAAAACTTAACTCTAGCTCTTCTTTCTTCTGTCGTCTTGCTCTTTAAGCACCACACTTGCTCTTGCTGCAAATGTTCTCTCAATTTCTGGATTCGCAAAAGTTGTGGTTCTTTGCACAGATTAAACCCTAGTTGAATCCTACCAAAAAAAACTAGTTGTCTTTTTCCTTAAATAAGACTTTCTTCTTTCCAGCTCTTTGTTTGAGGACTGGCACAAGCTTATGAACCTGGTTCACTTTGTCATTATCAAAATTTACTCAGAATATTGTCATGTCATCAAATAGCAATTTAACAAAGTCTAAATCATGTTCTTTGTGGGATCTACTCTAACTTTCGTTAGGTTCTATATTTGAAATTGATGATATTGTTATGTTCTTTAGGGGCAGTACAAGATCTAGTGAAGTTGATATGAAACAGATTAATTTTGTTTGTGAGAAGATGTGATCATAAGGTTAAGGGGAAATAATAGTATTTTTTTTGTTGTATCTACTAAAACTTTAAATTACACAATCAACAAGATGAGGCAAGCTACAAGTTTTTGGGATAAAGGTTTCCCATTCAACTACTTAGTTTAGGAACAAAAAAGATAAAGAGTACTTTGGTGGACTGATGAGTAAAATTGTTAACAAGCTTAGCGGTTGGCATCATGGCATGGTAAACTTCAGTCATATGGAGTAAAACTAAATCTCATTGAACAAGTTTTACATGTTATGCTAGTGTACACCTTGACAACTATGGATCCTTTAAAGGAAACCATCGAACTCATTAATGAAGACTTGGCAAGGTAATTTGAGGGTTCCTCTACTAAAAAGGGTAAGTATCATACTATCACTGGAGCTCATCAAAAAACTAGTGCAAACCTGAAAGTGGTACTGGGAATGGAGTGTTACAAGACATAAGTGATACAGTCGCCACTAAAAGATGGTGGAACATGAGGACTAAACATTTCATCTGTGTTGCATTTTACAAGTATAAAGCCTACAACATAGTACATCTAATGTCTAGGAAAGGGGAGATGGACAATCTCATGACTGGAGGAAGTTGAAAATTATAAAATTGAAGGTTGAATTCAATATTAATTGAAAAGTTAGAAAAGGGTGATTATAGCTTTTGATAGAATGATTGAATAGGTAATGAATCTATTCTATGTTAGTTACCTCAGCTCCGATCCAAAGTCCAATATGATCATCAACGTTAGTGACTTCATGCAAGGAAAGAGTAGAAAGATGAAGAAATTAATTATCATCCTACCAGAAAGTACTATTAATGTCATCATTTTAGTGAACATAAGAAAAGACGTTTAGAAAATTCTATAGGCAGTAATTTTTTAATAAGAATGTGTGACAAATCATCACGACTCCCTACCCTTGAATGAGCTTTATAAATCATATGTAGAAGAGAAAATTTTCAATTTATATATCATTCCTCTCTTAGAGATTGTTGAAAAAGAAATTTCCTTCTAATGAAAATCTGACTAAATTTGGAAAACAAGTGTTAACTATGCATAAATGTTATGAGTCAATGCACTTCTTAGAAGTGGTGGAGGATTAAACCTCTCAATGGGATACAAACCTTTCTACTACACAGAACTCTCATCATGGTCAACTTGGAAATATATGGAAAAATACATGTCTTGTAGATATGAAGACCAAAGAAAATATTGTGGGGGGAAGGGGGGGGGGGGGTGAGATTAAACATCTTTTTTTTTAAATTTTAAATAGTGCAATTGATAATTCAATCTGTCAATGCACTCATCAATATAGAGAAAGAAGGTTCCTTACTTGTACTAGTAAGGTTGATATATTCGGATTAACCAGATATAATGTTGATATTTGTAGAAGTTTAAAGTTCAATATATGTTTGTCAAAAGAGATAACAAAAATTATGAACTTGCAATCACAATTATCATTACATCCAAGGATCATATCACTTTATAAGGAGCGGCTAACCAAATTATGAATAACTTAGCTAAAGAGAAGTCAATTCAAAGCATTTAATCTTGATTGCAGCTCATTTGTTTGACCACATGAACTTTCACTTTATTAATATCGACTTTCTAAGGCTCTAGGGAAATCTTAATACCTCAGTTCTATGAAATTAGAAGACACCCAAAACAAACAAATAAAAAATCAAACTATTTGTTGTCATGATCATATCTTGGATCTAGTTTATCTCAATCCTGTCATCATCCTAATTGCACGATGTTTTGTACAAACAACTTTATAGATTTAGTTTAAGCACAATATTTTGTACAAATAACTTTTGTATTTTAGTTCAGCAGAAGACACCAAAAACAAATAAGGAAAATAACCAAATTAATTGTTATCAATGACCATATCTTGAGCTTCATCGCCATCTTCGCCATCTCTAGCCTCTAATACATCGTCATCTCTATTTTCATATTCATCGTTATCTCTAGCTTGAGATACATCGTTATCTCTAGCTTCTAATTCATCGCCATTTCTAACTTCAGATTCGTCGCCATTTCCATCTACTAATACATCGCCATTCCCAGAAGCTTCTAGTACATCAGAATTTCCAACTCTAGACCCAACTCCATCTCTAGCTGCGGATACATCAAAATGTCTAGGCACTCTAATAGTTAGAAACCTATCCTCAGAAATTCTATTCATTTCTGTTATCGATACAGCTAGATCTGTAGTTTCTACTATAATGGCAACATGAAAAACAAATATCACTCTATCTGCATGTATATCACTGCCACCATCATCACCTATTTCATCCTCATCACCTTCTTCATGTGTCTTGTCACATTGTTCGTCTACTGGCATCTTATACCTACAAATCGGACACGATCCATTGATGCCTAACCACGTGTCAATACAAATCGAATGAAAATGATGTTCACAAGGCATCTCCTTAGCTTCCTCGCCAAGTTCAAAATTGGACAAGCAAATAGAGCAATCAATCCCTTCACCTAAAATCTTCACCAACGGTATCGCTTGAATGGAAGCGATTGATGCCGGTAATTGCTCTTCCAAAATAGGTTCTGCATTGATAGGATGAGCTTCGAAGAAGGAGATTGAGTTGTTTGTTGCGTCCACCACTGCCACAATATTCCGTTCATCTTCCGATGGTGGAATGGATTGGGCGAATCGAAGTATATGATCATAAATCATTGATCTGACTTCAGTTTGGGTTAAGCCTTCGAGAGATGGAATTAACACCGATGCCACCTCCATATCTGGACCTATAGTGTACTAAATGTTAAAAGAGAGAGGCAGATGCCATTTTTTTATTGAAGGATTGTGCTTGATTTATAGGGTTTATTGTTAGCTTTATAAGGAAGATTCTAGAGCTTGGACTTGGGCCCACATTGAGGCTTGATTTTGTCGTATTTGCATTTCCGATTCTCTCATTAAGTATTTTCTATATTTGTACTAATCTAAAAATAATCACCCAATATATTTATTTTTGTACTTTATAAAGGAAACGAAAAACAAAAGAGGAAAAGAATAATTAATAGAAGAAGACTAAAAAATAAAACGGAAGAAAAACTTATACCTATACGCTCCACGTGACTCCACTAAAAAATCATGGCACATATGCTTTAGTGAGGTCACAATGAAGTAAAATAAAGACTTTCATGGTATCTCAAAGTAGGACTATCAAAATAAATCCACATATAGATAACCTGCTTAATTAGTCCAGAAATTTAATGAATTTGGCTAAAAAATGATGCTTTGATGAATTGCCATAAGCCTTGAAACACCATCAATAAAGTATGAAATATATGGACGAGTATGAGTCAAATAAATCAAACTTCCAACTAGACTTTTAATCCTACTGCAATTTTTCATTTATATTCATGGGTGTTGTGACAAATTTACAATTGACAAGCCCAATTCTTTGAAGGAGATCTGATGCATATTTCTTTTAAGAACGAATACTTTACCTTCTCCTTATTTCACCTCGAGCCCAAGGAAGTAATGCAACAAACCCGAATCAGTCATCTCAAATTTATTCATTATACTAGATTACAATAGAGTGAGATGAATCTATATAAATTATATCATTAACATAGAGGCATACAAGCAGATTATTGTTAACTCACTTCTTCAATTACAAAGTAGGCTTATTTTCACTCCTTTCAAATCTATTTTGAACAAAATAGGAATTGATTTTGCTATACCAAGTGTGTGGCGTTTGTTTCAACCCATAAAGTGTCTTCCTCAAATGGTACGCATTTTCCTCTTGGCTACTAATTTTGAAACCTTAAGGTTGAGCAACATAAACCTCCTCTCCTGTCAAGTTCACCATTCAAAAAGGATGACTTGACATCAAGTTGATAAAATGACCATTTCATTTGAGCAGCCAAGGCTAAAATTGTTCTTACCGTTTCAAATCCAGTAACATAAGAAAATGTCTCCTCAAAATCAATACCCTGTTGTTGCAAGTATACCTTTGCGACAAGTCTGGCCTTGTTTTTCTGTACACTTCCATCTACATGATACCTTGTTTTGAATATCCAGTTTAACCATCAATTCTTTGTATTGCCATCACTTCTTCCTTCATCGCATTCTTCCACTCCTTATTTTCAATTGCTTCATAAAACATAGGTTCTCAAACAATAAAGCAAATTGACAAGATTGCTTAGAATATCTAGGATTCTCTTTTCAGGTTCTTGTTGATCTTCTTAGTGGAATTGGTCAACTGTTGCAAATGTCTCTGGTTCAATCGCTTGTTCAGGTGAATTAGGAGCAAACTTTTCTCCTTCATTTTTAGAGTCTTCGATGGGTATAAGAATCTCTTTTTGTATTTGTTTTTCATCAAATACAAGAATTCTACTAAATATCACTTTGCATTGAGAGGATTATACAACCTATATGCTTTGGATTCAAGAAAATAACCGATGAAAATATATTTTTGTGATTTTTTATCTAGTTTTTACGAGTTTGAGAGTTAACCAAAGCATAAGCAATAAAACAAAAAAATCTTAAGTAGCTTACTGAAGGACTTGTACCTTTCTAAGCTTCATATGGTGTTTCATTCATCACACAACCTTTGTAGGAGATAGGTTCAGTAAGTACACTGGGTTGCAACTACTTCAGTAAATATGATTCTTACGTTCAGCTACACCATTTTGCTTTGGTGAGTAGTGTGCAGTAAGGTCCTTGTGAATTCCAGATTCTTCACAAAGATGGCCAAATTCGTTAGATAAGAACTCACCAGCTCTATCCGTTCAGAGAGTTTTTGTGCGCAGACCACTTTGATTCTTCACTAGTGCTTTGGATTTTCTAAAATTCTCAAAGGCTTCTGATTTGTATTTTAGGAAATACACCCAACTCATGCGACTAAAATCATCTCTGATGAGGGAAAATATCGACTTCCACCAAAAGATTTAGTACTCATTGGACCACATGAATTAATTTTAGGCAAGTAGTTACTCTCCAAGCCTTTCCAACAAGAAACGACTTTCTACTTTGCTTCCCATTATTCCAACCTTCGCATAAATCAAAAGTATAAATTTTTGGTAATCCAATTACCATACCTTTTTGGCTTAGCAACTTTTTCCCCTAGAAATAAGATGCTCATACCTCAAATGCAACAATTCAGAGTCATTGTCTGCACCAATTACCAAGAAAAAATTCCCACATTTGAAACTTGCTGAAAAATTTTGTTTTCAGCAACGAGAACATTAACGATTACTCGCCCTCGCCCTCGACTATTTCCATGAAATGCACCTTTGCCTCATACTTTTAGATTGGAATGTTTTTTCTACTTGCTTTTTCGCTGACATGTTTATCCTTGATTCATGGGCTTGTAAAAAAACCCATCAATTCATCGAATGGAAATTTTGACAAATCTTTAGACTCCTCAATTGCAACCACAACATGATCAAGCTTAGGAATTGAACTCCCTAAAAACTTCAACAACAATATGATAAGTTATTTGGTCTTTATGTGACCTCATTTGACTAATAAAAGTCATTGCTCTAGACAAAAAATCATTTCCTTTTATGATTAAAATTCAAATTCATGCCAAAGAGTTTGCAGTTTTACAATTTTTAACTTTGATGAGCCCTGAAATTTTGTTTGTAAAGTTCTTCGACCTTGCCTTGAAGTGATGACTGCTGCAATTCGGGAAACCATTGTCTCATGGATTGCCTGTTGAAGAAAGAACAATGCCATTGCGTCCTTCTTTCTATTTTCCTTCGACTGCTGCTCCTCATCCGGACCAGTAAATCCAGTCTCTATCAAGTCCCAAAGATCTTGAGACTTAAATAAAGTTTTCATCTTGATGCTCTAGAATTGATAGCGTTGTCCCATAAAATGGGGTTGGCTGGCTAAGATATGTTCAAAGAACTTCCATTGGAAGCCATGTTGTTTTCTGTTTCTAAGTCACCTGAATCTAAACCTTGCGCTGATACTACAAATTTTGGAGAACAGAGATTTCAAGCTCACTCATCTAAAAATGAGAAACTTAAGGACCAAACAACAACTATCCCAGACTAAGTCAAAGTGCAGTAAAATATTAAAAGAAAGCTGCAGTAGTTCTCCTCTTCTTTCACTTGAACCATTTATTCAACAGTGATATGTGTCTACCACACATCCCCAGTTTTACTACCTTTTGTCATTGAACCAAAGCCATGAGAGAAAAGATTTATATCAACTATGATAAGATCAACATATGTGCATCCATCACAAAGTTATCAACAAAATATCCTGGTTGCGCTATAATATGTGTAACTCATTTCTAGCAGTAATGACACTTCTTTTTTCCTATTAGATATGAAATAGCTCTTTATGCCTCTATGACAACCTCTATTAAAAGACAAGCGAGAAGTAGTACTGAACCGGAGCCACATAGAGTTAGTTCCCCTTAAAGCCTTCTTTCGAACTTTCCAACCCCACTGGCACTAGCCTAAAGCCCTGCCTACTCGTCTTTAACTGGCTTATTTGTACCCAGCTACATGATGAAAGTCCCTCGACTAATCGTCACTCGATAGCTCAACGTTGATTGGTACAACCCTGAGTGTGTAGATGAAATTCTACTCGAGTAACAGAAGTGAAAAGATTTCTTAAAAGAAGACAAGTTAAAGTTGACTTAGGACCTGATAAATTTCTTTGAACTTCAACGATGTGGAATTAAAGCCCGCCATAAAGTCATACAACCTGAATTTTAATTACAAATGTTATAAGCTAATGAAGCATAACACTATGGTATGTGAAGATTGAAATGGACATTCTAATGATAAACATGACTTGCCTTCTCTCTCACCACTCATCATATTGCTTCTTTATATCATCATGCTCTTGGGTAACAAAATCAAGTTCTTGGACTCTCGCATTGTACACAAATACTTTGTTCCGATACCTGGTGATAGTGGACAGACACTATTAGTATATCAAGAGAAACTGTAATCCTACAAGTTTTCACTGCATATAAATGTGGACAGGTGCATACTCAGAGATCGAGTCAAGATTTGGATTCATCTATTTTAGTTGAGCTTCTAGAATTTCAACCATCTCCAAAGCACTATTTAGGTCACAAGACTCACCAAGTGTGTCATCCCTCAAAGTTGTTTGAAGCTTTTCTAGTTCCACCGAGTCCTTTTGAATCTTATGTATATAATACAGATAGATACATAAAAGAAATCCACCTTACTGCTCAATATGCTTTCAAAGAGCAATAAGCAAATCATCAAGCTTTTTCTCTTATATTTGCCTTTGAGCTCCAAGTCTTTCTAGGTCTTCTTCATATCTTGTAAGTTGTAATCAGCATCCACATGCAGCTCTAATTAAACTGAATTAGAAACTCATTCCACATAGAAGCAAGAAAGCTTTATAGAGACTTGCACGAAACCTCTTAAGAACACAATTGATCCACGGTTTTCTTCAAAGTTTCATACTCATTTAGCATCATTCAGAGAAGTAGAGTGCTGATCAAAGAGCTAGAGAATAATGAAAAAACATCAAAGAAAACAAAAAGAGTGATAGACAACTTTAATGTATCTTATTATAATCCTCTATAACAAAAAATGCTTTCTGTTCGATCTCTTTGAAGGTATAAAGCAATTCTTCTTTCTCGGCAGCCAGTCTTTCCTTCTATCTCTTTGATTCATCAATCCCTTTTGTTAGTTTCTGTTAGGGATGGTTGGAAGTCACTAATTTATGTTCCATAGTTTTATAAGGATTAGGTTAAATTATAGTCATTAGTTTGAAATAGGATTTAGGTCTCCTACTTCCATAAGAATTAGTTTTCCTATTTATGGCTTTTGATGAATAAATCAGTAAGTTTTAATCCAACAAAAAGCAGGATGTAGATTCTCTCTTTCATTGAACTCTATGGTTTCAGTCTCCTTTGAAGAGCTAAAGAGATCGGAGTTCTCTCTTTTAATGAACTCTAAGGTTTCAGCCTCCTTTTAACGAGCTAATTTATATAACACCCCGTGAATCGATCCTTCCCTAAAGATTTTAACAATTTCTTAATCATTTTCTGTCCTATTTCTATCTGAACTTCGCTACAGTTGTCTGTGCCTTTTTTTATCACTGTCCTGGTGAAGGTAAAATAAAAGCAGCATGAATGGTGTAATTAAATACACAATTTAACATGCACAAGGTCATATCCAATTACAGATTGAATTTTGGTGATCTCTGTCTTTTGATTTTCAAACGCTCACCACCAGCATTCTCTATTTTTTTTCTGAGGCTCTGTCGCCTGAAGCAATTAAATACTTGCTTAAAGCAGCTTTTGCCACTTTCCATGCTTTAGGTAATTACAGAAGCGTCTTGCAAAATGTGCAAATAAAGCAATACTTTACCTTCTCTTTTAATTGTTGTGAACTTTGAGTAAGCCTGTTCATTTCCTTTCTTCAAAAGACATTATTTTCTTGAGTTCCTTCAATAAACAGACTTCATCCAATTGCTTTTTAAAATCATTGTGTTGGGACTTTAAACTGCCGATCTGTCCCAAGGAAACAAATTTCATTTATCTTTAGATGCAAAATTTTGAACCAAGGGTCTATCCGAAACAACTTCTCTACCCCACAAAGGTATAGGCAAGGTATTTACACATTCTACCCTCTTCAACCCCACTCTGGTATTATAATGAACTTTCACCTTATTGGTGTCAACTTTCTATTCAGGCTCTAGGGGAATCTTAAAAGTTTATTTCTATGAAACTAGAAGATGCCCAAAACAAACAAATAAAAAAAAACAAACTATTTGTTGGCAATGACCATATCTTGGAGCTAAGTCATCTCAATACCGTCATCATCCTAATTAAAATTGCACAATATTTTGTACAAACAACTTCATATATTTTAGTTAAGCACGATATTTGTACAAATAACTTTTATATTTTAGTCAAGCAGATGACGCCAAAAACCAATAAGGAAATGACCAAATTAAATGTTACGAATGACCATATCTTGAGCTTCATCGCCATCTCCTCCATCTCCAGCTTCGGATACATCACCATCTCTAGCTTTTGATACATTGTCATCTCTGGCTTCAGATTCATCACCATCTCTAGCTTCATTCATCTCTAGCTTCGAATTCATCGCCATTTTCAGAAGCTTCCAGTACATCGACATTTCCATTTTCAGAAGCTTCCAAACCCATCGCCGGTTTCGAATACATCAGAATGTCTATGGACTCCAACTTCTATCAACCTATCATAGGAAGGTCTATTCATTTATGTTATTGATACTTCTAGATGTGTAGTTTCTGCCATAATAGCAACATTAAAAATAAACATCAACTCTATCTTCTTCCATATCACTGCCACCATCGTCACATATTTCATCTTCATCACTTTCTTCATCTTTCCCCTCACATTGTTCGTCCTCGGACATGATCCATTGATCCCCAACCACTTGTCAATACAAATCGAATGAAAATGATGTTTACAAGGTATCTTCTTAGCTTCCTCGCCAATCTCATAATTGGACAAACAAATAGAGCAATCAATCCCATCACCTAAAATCTTAACCATCTGTATTGCTTCAATGGAAGCAATTGATGTAGGTAATTGCCCTTCCAAAATAGGTTATGCATTCATAGGATGATCTTCGAGGAAAGAGATTGAGTTGTTTGTTGCGTCCACCACTGCCACAACATTACGTTCATCTTCAGATGGTCGAATAAACCGGGCGAATCAAAGTATATGAGTATAAATCATTGATCTGATTTAAGTTTGGGTTAGGCCTTCAAGAGATGGAATTAACATCGATGCCACCTCCATATATGGACCTATAGTTTGCTAAATGTTTACGAGAAAGACATACGACATTTTTTATTAAAGGACGGTGCTTGATTTATAGGGTTTATTGATAACTTTGTGAGGAAGTTCCTAAAGCTTGGTACTGAGCCTTCATTGAGGCTTGATATGGTTGTATTTGCACTGCAGGAAAAGGATAATTGATAGAAGACCAAAAAAGAAAACGAAAGAAACACTTATTATCTATATGCTCCACATGACTTCAGAAAAAAATCATGACAAATGTGCCTTGGTGGGGTCACATCACAGTAAATAATATGCGGTCAAATTAATATTTAGCAAACCCTCCCCCCTCCTTCCCTCCCCCCCCTTAAATGAACATGCTGTGCAAAAACGACCAAATCGAGCCTCAATGTGGGCCAGTACCAAGCTCTAGAAACTTCCTCACAAAGTTAACAATAAACGCTATAAATCAAGCACCATCCTTCAATAAAAAATATTCTTTGTCTTCCTCGTCAACATTCAATAAACTATAGGTTCAAATATGGAAGTAGCATCGATGTTAATTCCATCTCTCAGATGCCTAAGCCAAACTGAAGTCGGATCAATGATTTATAATCATATACTTCGATTCGCCCAGTCTATTCCACCATGAAGATGAACATAATATAGTGGCAATAATGGATACAACAAACAACTCAATCTCTTTCCTCGATAATCGTCCTATTAATGCAGATGCTGTTATGATAGGAGGGCTAGTACTTGTATACATCGCTTCTATTGAAGCTATACTAATGGTTAAGGTTTTAGCTGAAGGAATTGATCGCAATATTTGTTTATCGAATATAAAAATTGGCGAGAAAGCAAAAGAGATGCTTTGTAAACATCATTTTCATTCGATTTGTATTGACATGTGGTTGAGGATCAATGGACCGTGTCCGATTTGCAGGTATAATATGTCAATGAACGAACAATGTGACAAGAAAGTGGTGAAAATGAAACAAATGATGATAGTAGCAGTGATATTGGGGAAGATAGAGTGATTTTTATTTTTTGTGTTATCATTACACCTGAAAATATACACCAGCTAACAATACCGATAACAAGAATCAATAGACATCCCCGATGATATGTTGATGGGAGTAAGAGTGCATAGACACTTTGATATATCTGAAGCTGTTGGAAATGGCGATGTATCCAAAGCTGGAAATGATGATGTACCCGAAGTTGGAAACAAAATAAAAATGACGATGAATTCTAAGCTAGAGACGACGATGTATTAGAAGCCGGAGATGGCGATGTATCTGAAGCTAGAGATGGTGGAGATTACGATGAATTCAAAGCTCAAGACATAGTCATTGATAACAAATAGTTTGGTTATTTTTCTTATTTGTTTTTGGCGTCTGCGGAGAGTTTTTATGTGTAACCCACTTTGATTCTTCACAAGTATCTTGTATTTTCTAAAATTTTCAAAGGCTTCTACTTTATATTTTAGGAAATACACCCAACTCATGCGACTGAAATCGTGTGATGATGGGAAAAAATCAACTTCCACCAAAACAATCATTATTCATTGAACCACACAAACATGCATGAATTAATTTTAGGCAAGTAGTTACTCTCCATGCCTTTCCAATAGGAAACGACTTTCTACTTTGCTTCCCATTAATGCAACCTTCGCATAAATCAAAAGAATTAATTTTTGGTATCCAAATACCATACCTTTTGGTATAAGCAACTTTCTACCCTTGAATTAAGATGCTCATACCTCATATGCCACAAATTCATACACATTTTTTGCACCAGTTACCAGAGCAAAAATTTCCACATTTGAACTTTTAGCGGAAACATTTTGTTTTCAGCCATGAGAAAATTAACCATTACTCGCCCTAACCCTCGACTATTTCCATGAAATGCACCTCTACCTCGTCCTCTTTCTTTGTTACCTTGTCATGATCTCTTGAATCGAGTGCCTCCGCCGTAGATTAAAATGTTTTTCTTCCTGCTTTTCTAATACATGTTTATTCTTGTCTCATGGGCTTCGGACTCCTAAATTGCAGCCACCACATGATCAAACTTAGAAGTTAAACTCCTTAAAAATTTCAACAACAGTTTGATCAGTTATTTTGTCTCCATGTGAACTGATTAGACTAATAATAGCCATTGCTCTAGACAAAAATTCTTGCACATGTTCATCACCTTTCATGATTTAAAGTTTTGAACTCATGCCGAAGATTTTGAAGTTTTACAACGCTATTTGAAATTCTGTTTGAAAAATTCTCCAAGCTTGCCTTTAAGTGGTGGCTGCTGCAATTCAGGAAATATTGTCCCATGTATTGCCTGTTGAAGGATCTTGAGGCTTAAATAAAGTCTTCATCTTGATGCTCCAGAACTGATAGCTTTGTCCCATAAAATGGGGATGGCCGACTGAGGTATGTTCAGAAAACTTCCATTGGAAGCCATGGTGTTTTTCTGTTATTAGGTCGTCTGAAGCTAAGCCTTGATCTGATACCACAAATGTTGGAGAATAGAGATCTTAAGCTCACTCAAGAACAAAATATTTGAAAGGAAGGAATTAACTAGCAGGAAAGTTGAAGAGGATATATAACAATGTATGATTGCTGGAAGTGTAGGCTATTGGAATTGCAGCTGCTTATCTGATTCTATTTATCAGCAATGATGCCTTTTAAAAAGGCTTACGACTTAACTTAAAGACAAAATTAAAAGGGCGCGCTAACTCAATAGTGCATTCAACTAAAAATAAAAAACTTAATGACCACATAACAACTATCCTAGACTAAGTCGAAGTGCAATAAAATACTAAAAGAAAGTTGCAGTTACTTTCCAGTTCTTCCATTTAAATCATTTATTCAATAGTGATATGTGTCTACCACACATCCCCAGTTTTACTACCTTTTGTCGTTCAACCAAAGCTATGAGAGCAAGGATTTATATCAACTATGATAAGATCAACATATGTGCATCCATTACAAAGTTATCAACAAAATATCTTGGCTACTCTATAATATGTGTAACTCATTCCTAAAAGTAATTTACTTCTCAATGTGTAGATGAAATTCTACTCGAGTAACAGAAGAGAAACTTTCTTAAAAGAAGACAAGTTAAAGTTTAGTTAGGACCTGATACATTTATTTGAACTTCAACGAAATGGTATTAAAGCCCTCCATAAACTCATCCAACCTGAATGTTAGTTACAAATGTTATAAGCTAATGAAGTATCACTGAGACATGTGAAGATTGAAAGGGACATTCTAATGATAAAAATGGCTTGCCTTCTCTTTCTCCACTTGCCATATTGCTTTTTATATCACATGCTCTTAGTAACAAAATCAAGTTCTTGGACTTTCTCATTGCACACAGATAATTTGTTCTGATACATGGTGATAGTGGACACTTAGTATATCGAGAGAAATTGTAATCCTACAAGTTTTCACTGCATATAAATGTTGACTGGTGCATACTCAGAGATCGAGTCAAGATTTGGATTTATCTCTTTTAGTTGAACTTCTAGAATTGCAACGATCTCCAAAGCTTTATTATGGTCATAAGTCTCGCCAAGAATGTCATCCTAAAAGTTGTTTAAAGCTTTTCTGGATCCACCGAGTCCTTTTGATTCCTATACCAAGAGGAACAAATATGTGTATTGACAATAATATCAACGGCAGATATGAGTGTATGTATATAAGATAAATAGATACACAAAAGCTATGGCATCCCAGAAAATGGTAAGAAGTAAGCATTTGAAAGAAATCCAACTTACTGCTCAGTATGCTTTGAAAGAGCAATAAACAAATCATCAAGCTTTTTATTATATCCTTTGCCTTTGAGCTCCAAGTCTTCATAAGTCTTCTTCATATCTTGTAAGTTGTAATCAGCATCCACTTGCAGCTCTAATTGAACTGAATTAGAAACTCATTCCACATAGAAGCAAGAAAGCTTCATAGAGACTGGCACAAAGCCTCTGAAGAATGCAATTGATCTACAGACTTCTTCAAAGTTACATACTTATTTTTAGCATCATGTGGAGAAGCAGAGTGCTGATCAAAGAGCTAGAGAATTATGAAAAGACAACAAAAGGAGCTATAGACAACTTTAATGCAACATTCATAATCATGAAATGCCGAAAGTAAATGGAGATTTCTGTTCTCTTTGACAACAAATGATTTATGTTCGATCTTTGAAGGTACAAAGCAATTTTCTTTCTCGGCAGCCAGACTTTCCTTCTCTTTCTTTGATTCCTCAATCTCTTTTGTGAGTTTCTTAATCATTTTCTGTCTTGTTCCTATCTGAACTTTACTATGGTAGATCTCTATGCCTTTTTTTATCAATGTCCATGTGAAGGAAGGAAAAATAGAAGCAACATGAATGGTGTAATTAAATACACAATTCAATATGCACAAGGTCATATCCACTTATAGATTCAATTTTGGTGATCTTTGTCTTTTGATTTTTCAAACGCTCACCACCAGCATTCTCTATTTCTTTTTCTGAAGTTCTGTCTCCTGAAGTATATAATGTCTATTAACTTTTAATATAAGAAACGAACAACCAAGAAATAATCTATGCATGGCCAAACTTTGCATAACTAATACGTTTATAACTATTAAATGCATTACTAATACTTGTATAGTTCTAGCCAGTTACCAAACAACCCCAGGGGATTCGACACTTAAATCACATTGCATATTCATGCCAAAAGTTCAATCTTGATTGATGAACAATAATTACAGATTCAGGACAAGGTTGCCAGGGTTTTATATTCAGCCATCACAACAAAATGTGACAGAACACATTGCAGCTTTCAAAAAGTATCAACACTTTGGCAACAATAAAAGAGTTTACCATAAAGGTTGAGAACTTACTGCTTCAATGATTCTGCAATCTTCTCAACATATTTGTTGGTTCCAATAATATCTTCTAGATACTCCAGAAAGCCTTCATCATGGGCTGATTGCGCTTTTGGCTTCATCAACGATATTTGCTCAATCTCCCCCTGAAAAATCCAACCACTTCAACCCCATAATGAAACAATATTCCCGAATTTAAGATCAAGCAAGTGATATAAACCAATTATTATCTAAGTGAACCCCTTTCCCCATCAGTTTCATGGTGACCTCTGTATTGTTACTTGACTGGTCATTGACGAAGTATTTAGAGGAATTATCTCGGAATGCCACACATGTTATCACAAGATCACTTCAAGGAACAACTTTGTATGTCTCAGCATCCTTGAATAGAAGAAGAAACACTTGATTCAAAAGTAAAACTGCAACTCTAAATGACCATCTCGAAAAGAGGAAATCATGAACAGATAAATTGTAGATGAACTCTGTAACTTCATTAAGACGCATCTGCGCAGTCTATAATCAAAGATGAAAATGCTAAACTTTTTCAGCTGTTACCAGCGAAACAATCATAATGGTTAGTATTTAGGACTAAGAATTTCAGCATTTAGGATAGACCGGATTTTAGTAGTGCAGCTAATGCTTCTTTTCACTAACAAAAAATGGTTGGATGAAACAGTCAAATCTATGAAGACTACGTTACCTGTTTGGCTCGCTTCCCAAACACGAACAACATTGCGTCAATTTATGTTACTCTTTCCACTACCATTAGGACCACAACTGCAGAAAAGCTCTGAAAGTAAAACGACTTCAATTTCATCTAGACTCAATTACGAAAATCACAGTGAAATTAAAAAAAAACCTAACCTTATGAAATGGGCCAACACGCTGTTCGCCGCCATAAGACTTGATTTTTCTCATGTTCATATCTTTAATGAATAGCCTTGGAGCTCTAGATACACAAAGAGGGGATTCAGCCATCTAATCGTCTGAGATCAACGAGTTCCATTTATACGCCCATTCTTCACCGGTTTAGAGAGTAAACTTCGGCAGAACTCCGGTCAAGCGCTATCGAATTGGCCCGCCACTGGAGTTGTCAAAATTGCAAAATGTGTTTGGTCGGCTAGGTCAGCCAATAAAACCCTTGGATTAGGTGGTGTTGGGCCAAATTTGTTTTGGCTCATACCGAAACGAGGCATTTTAGCGAACCTCATTTGGTCCACTAGCATAGGCTCAACCCGCAAACTTTAAAAGCCAGTTAGTAGGCTATGAGTATTTAAAACTATATTTTTTTTTGTATATTTTTTATAATAACTTTCACATATATCAAATAAAAAATTTATATTTGTATGCTATAGCAAAGTTTGCAAATTGCGCTTCATATCAAACATAGAAACTATATAATTCGCTATACATATAGAGTTGAAGCAAATTGTATAAAACGAAGTGTATAAAACAAGAAATAGAAAGGTGCTTGGGCAGAGAACTGAATAAAAATAAAGTATATAAAACGAATTGTATTATTATAAGTGTATAGAACATTTATATACAATTTGAATTTGTATAAAATGAAAAAGAGAGAAAGACAAAAGAGACTTGACAAGGAATATACAATTAAATCGAATTGTATAAAACGTGAAAGAGAGATTAGATACAATTTGAAAATTGTATAAAACGAGAAAGAGAGAAAGGCAAAAGAAACTAGACACAGGAGTATTTTTATTGTATAATTATAAGTGTATATGACGAAAATATATGTACTTGCATGTGTATATACAATTTTCTCACATTTTATACAAACTGAAATGCAATTTATGCATTTCGCTTCTGTTTGTATAAGTGAGAAAGGTGAGGGTGGCGAACGAGATTTGGGAGAGTGACGAGCAAGATCTAAAAGAGGGGAGAGGGGAATAAAAATATATGTATTTATACAATTTTCTATGCTTTGTACAATTAGAAACACTTTTTATACACTTGTGTTTGTATAAAAAGTGAGCAAGTGAGCGAGAAATTGGAGGAGAGTGTCGAGCGAGATATTTGGGAGAGAGGCGCCTGGAAATTTCTTGCAAACGTTTGCTATGGAGCACAATTAACTCAAACCCTAGTTACTCAATTCATTTTAGGTTATTAGTTTGTTATTATATATAATTTTCCCTATTTTTAATAATGTTTTATTTGTAAAGTTTTTATTAATAAATATTATTATAAATAAAAAATCAAGTCTTTTAAACTAGCTAGTTTTTTTGTGAGAGAAATGGTGAAATGTTTAACATTTTTTTGCTAATTTTATGTTGACTATTATGTATTTTTGCATGTAAATTGAAAAGGTTTTATTCATAAATGTATTTTTGTAAGTATTTATCGAAGTGTACGATACTTCAATGAAAAATTATACTTATTCATGTTGTGTTCATAAACGTCAATGTTTAATACTCATAGATACTCTTTCTGAGAGAGTAGTATTGTTCATTTATTGATTGAAGGGTCAACCCGTCCCAACTCGTGGCCCGCTTAGGACTCAGTTGGACTGCTATTTTATAGGCCCTTTAATTAAAAATGTCAACTCATCCCAACCCATTTAACTATCTAGCTTGTTAGGATTGGGTTGGATCACCCCATTTTGACAACTCTACCAACAACCATGGTATCTTAACCTGTGGACCACTAAATATCGCTTGGGTCCATATTTTTGGGCCCCAACTTAGAAAGAGAAAATGACTTGTATATACAATTGATAATAACTATTAGCAACATATAGCCTAACATTAATAAGCATTAAATAGATAAATAAAGTATTAGCACAAATTGTCCCAAAATTAACTTTGAATACTAATAGGTGTTTTTTCCCTTCATTATGAAATCAACAGTTAATAATCAACATAAGCTACGCAGGCGTGGTTTTTTTCTAGGAAAATATTAAACTCTTGTATATGATCATTCATTTCCCATGAAATTCATCAATTTAAAATCAATGTATCCAAAAAAAATAAAAATCAATGCACTTCAACAACAAACAGAGAAAACTATGACATTTTGAAAGTTTTTATTATAGCGAAGAATGCGATAGTAAAAATTATTTTGTTTTTCAATAGAATGGTTGGTTAATAAATATTGATTTCGATTGATTCAAATTGATTTCAACCCATCTAAATGTCGATATCGATAACAATTCAACACCAATATTGATACACAATACTATGGGATTACACATATACATCAAAATGAAAAAAATTTATTTATTTCAATGAATTCATTTAATTAATATCAAATTATCTAAATGTCAATACTTCCATTAGTTTTTTCGAATTTCATTATAAGATTTGACGAAACTTCAACACCAATGTTAATATAAAACAATATGAAAGTACGAGTATATATAAGATTGGAGAGGTGTTACTACAACTATCTATACTAATAGAATGCCAATTTTATAAGGAAAGAAAAAATAGTTATGTATATATTATGAATCTTGTAAAATAAATAATGTGTGTAATTACGTGATAAGTTTAGATAACTAAGTGAATTCAGTTGGTTTT